TTAGTAAAATGCTCCAGTTCCCTGATCCTGCTGAGCCGCTCTCCTGAGTTTAGCTGCAACCCTGATTTTGTTACTCAATAAGAATGTTTGAACAATAACAGAAATGCATTAATACTTTTAAATTACACAAAAGACTGAAATAATCAATTTACAATGACAATCTGTCCTTCCACATTAACAATAATTAAAACAATACAAAAATATACATATTAATAAATACAATAATAAAAACAACTCAAATAAATGATGAATCAGCATCAGGTTCTCTAAATATCAATCCAGAATCTTGTAATAAAGTATATAAATATCTTGCTCTTTGACTTTTCATCTCTCTGAATGTCTTATAATGTATCAGAAATTCTTCTTATACTTCAGTCCTGATTAAAAACAGCAGCAGCAGCTAATCAAGACCTTCAGCATCACTAGAAGCTCCAGACTGATGTGCTGCATTGTTTATGACACAGATAATATTAAAAACAACAACAATTTATTTCAACTGTTGAATTATTGATATTTGTAAGTTTGATCATATATTTTACTGGCCATTTTCATGATGCTGTATAACTCAGGCCACTTGTTTTAATACATTGATCTATGTTTTCTTGCCACATCAGTTTAATCACTCAAATTAAAGCTGAACTAAACCTCTGTCCTAAGAGTCATTAAAATAAACACATCAGCAGTCCAGTCAGGGGCCTGTAGTGTGAAGCTGGATTAGCTGGTTGGACGGTTAACTTTCAGTTTAGTTTGCACAAGTTCTGGGTTTTAGGTAGGGCTGCAGGATATTGGGAAAAACTGACATCGCAATATTTCGTTTTTCTGCGATATAAACTGCAATAGGAATATAATTTCACAATACGACTAACAACTTGAATTTGGAATAAGTTTGATTGTGATGATTTTGTCGAGGAGTGAATCTGCATAAAATATAATAAACATACAACAAGCATAAATTAATCAAATAGAAGAAATATACATGTTATATAAACTGTGCTTTATGGCTTTCTGGAGAGTCTAACAGGACTGAGGGACAGAAATTAAAAGATCAAATGTAGAATATCACTTTATAAGATTGAAAACCTTTCATTAAAGTTATCTTCACACTATTTAACAACATCCCGTCCTGTCCTAGGAACATTTTGAAACACTTTTGTGATACACTTCAAACATTGACTACTTTAGTCTTCACTGTGGAAATAATTAAATGCAATTATTCTTTGTTAAAGCTACACATTTGATCATTTCTAGTGCCCAAATGGTTTAAATTCACTTGAAATCTTACATCGTCTAATACAGACCTGATAAGTCTTTCACTCAGTGAGGGTTAAACTGTTCAGAACTGAACTCTGTCTTCTGGTTAATCACAATCCCAACTCAACACAGCAGATCCTGCGATGTGACTATTGCAGATTTGCACATTGTGATATCGATGCTGAATCAATATATTGTGCAGGCCTAGTTTTAGGTAACATGAAGGCAGCTGGACTTTATTCACTCTTTGTTTGCATCATGGAGCAGCCGAGCAGAGCTGAGCTCCTTCATGGTACCTAAAACCCAGAATTGGTGCAAATTAACTGAAACTGAACTGGCCAGCCACTAATCTGGCTTCATAGCACAGGCTGCACATCTCCACAATATGAATGAATGCTGTGGTGTGTTTGAGAACGGGATGGTGGTGTCTCTCCCTGAGCTCTAGAACTGTGTCCAGAAGGGGTTTTGCTTTTGCCTGCAAAAAACACAAAAAATTGCTTCACCGGCTTTTTCCCCAGTTGTTTTGGTTCTCATTATTCCCTTTCTAGAGGAGTGACCCTCCAAAAAGCAAATGATGGTAAGCGACATGTTGAACAGCACAAACACAAGTGAGAAATCTCCACACATTGACACGTATATTTCAGGAGTAACTTCATAAATCACAGCACAGTGAATAAAACAGCTTTAGATCACTCACACCACAGCTAAAACTGAAGAATCTGTCATCATTTACTCACCCTTCACTTGTTTATTAGAAGATATTTTGAAGAAAGCTGAATACCTGGAATCGTTGTCTTCATAGTATTCATTTCCGCTGCTAGGGAAGTCGATGGTTACAGATTTCCAGCTTTCCTCAAAATATCTTCTTTTGTGCTTGGAACAACCTGAGGGAAAGTAAGTAGAGTAAACATTAGTTTTTGGATAAACTATCTCTCTAAGCATTGTAAAATGTCCTGTAAGCGCTTGCATAATCTCACACTATACATTCATCTGCTTTTAATATTAGTCATAAGTAAAATAACAATATAAAATGTTTGTTTTGATGCACAAGATGCTGGCATAGATCACATATTTTGCTCTGATAATTGTTGCAATTATGATTGATTATTTTTAGCATAGTCGTATTGTTTCTATGACAAACGACATTATACAAACTGCAGATGTTATTAAGTGGGAATTTCTATCAACAGTAGAAACTAGGGCTGCATGATATTGGAAAAATAGACATGGTGATATTTTGTTTTGCTGCGATAATTTCACCAGGGCCTGGTTTTTCAAAAGGTTTAATCCGGATAAAATTTATCCGGATTTAGTAATCCTGTCTTTGCGGTTCGTGATCACGTAATCCAGCTTACTTTTTGAGACAGTTTTTCAAAGCAACATCGGATTGGATCAATCTGATCCGGATAGGAAGTTTTCAGGATCACTAAATCTGGATAACCAGTGCTCAAACAGGATAGGAAATCACAATGTAGAACTATAAATATGTAAAGAGCAACAAGTAGAATAGCCAGCGTGGGGTCAATATAACTTTATTTTTATTTGAAATGAAAACAAAGAAAATTTAATTATTAAAATAACAATAATAAATAATAAAAACAAGAAAAACCCCACCCCATCCTCTTCCAGCAGTCCGCTCATCTGAGACCTACAACACTGTACATTGAGGATATTTATAATAAGTTTCAAATAAAGATGTAAATAAAAAAAGACTTAATGTCAAAAACTCCACAATAATTTCAGACTTCCTCATCTGATGTAAAGAGACCAGCTTGTCTGAGCGTAGCCTTTAGGAGGCAGATCTCAAGTCATTGCCTTGGTTTGCTGCAGTTTGGTTAGAGTCAGTTGTTTCTCTGCCAGACGAAGCTGTGCTTCTGCCCTTTCAGTCTCTTTTTGCAATTGTTGAAAGAGATATCAAAAATCAGTCATTGCCATTCTTTGCATTTTTTTTTGTTCTGTAATCATTGCAAGCATCACTAATAAATATTCTAAAAAGAAAAATATTTTCCATTGTGATGAATATATATATCAATAGTGACAGATGAATATAAATATATATATACACATATCAATAGTGACAGAATAAAATTGATTGGTTTTGGTCAGTTTTGACAGCTGTTTGGGGGATTATTTTATAAGGCCAAACTCTCTACTTTGCTGGAGGCCTATACTGAAAGTCTGAATACGTTAAAGCCTATACTCACTATAGCCTGGCGGATGAACAAATAAAATTAAAACCTTATGAATAAATAGTTTATCTCGTAAGATACTGCATGATCCAAAATAGTATTATTTAATAATTTCTTTTAGTTTTCATTACATTTTGGGCATGAAATCCACGCTAAATCCACCCTTCTGATTGAATCAGTTTAATCCAGTTTTTTTTTTTATCAAAGTGATCTAGATCCTACAAAAATGGTCTGAAAAACCCAAACTAAAGGTTTGATCCGGATCAAAACCAAGATTGGATTACGTGATCTAAACCGATTATGTAATCTGTTTTTTTCTTTAAAAAAAAACAATTTTCAAGATTTGACCCAATTCCTTATCCAAAATCCTAGTGGATTACTTTTGAAAAACCGGGCCCAGATGATTTGAACAGCTCTATTTGGAAAGATTTCTCTAATTTAGATTGACTGGGATGATCAAGTCTTTTCCTATGCAGTGCATCTGCATAAAATATAATGATAGTGAAAGATGACTTCACTTCTGTCATATTATATGTTTTCCTGCACAGCTGGATGTTAATGCAATGTTAATGTTAAAATAATTGTTTGCATTTAACGGAGGCCTTCTTTGATGATTTATTTTTACAATTAATGATGGCATAGCAGTAAAAATAATGCAAATGAGCTCATGTATGGGACATTACTGGACCTTTTATCAGTGGGGTATGGGTCTTTCAAACTACTTGAACACCCCCTGCCTACAGACCTGTCGTTACAATGAGATCTCACCCAGACAGTGATTTTATTTATTTATTTATTTGTTTGTTTTTTGTGTGTGATAAATATTATATATTTGTGAAAAAAATAATTTATCTATGTTATCTATCACCCCTGCTGAAAAAATCATGTTGATAAAGTATAGGCTTTGTTGCTGGTCTAAGCTGGTCAGGACCAGCACAAAAAAAATCTACCTTACCTTCCTTCCTATCTAACTTATCTTCCACTAACATCGACAGCAGGTGAGCTTCAGTTCCCTCTTGTGGTCATTGAGTTTATCCATTACGACTTCACTTCAACTAACCTGTTTAGCCATGGCTGACACATTCCTTGCATACAGGCTACACTTGCACTGATACATACATTTGTGGCCTTTAAAACAAACGCACAACATAGACATTTTAACTCAAGTCTAAGCATTTTTAAAATATTTTTTATTGACAATTAAACAATTAAATTATAAAATAAACTAAATTAATTAATAATAACATTTTACATTATTAAACTTTTAAATATCATCTGTTAAACAGAATTTACTGAAATAATGATGTGTGTGAATGATGTTCTTGAAAAGCTGCTTTGTAAACAGACAGAAGTGCTCAGAACACCACATGCTGGTGACAGATCAGTATTCAACACCTCTCTCTCTCTCTCTCTCTCTCTCTCTCTCTCTCTCTCTCTCTCTCTCTCTCTCTCTCTCTATATATATATATATATATATATATATATATATATATATATATTATATATATATATATATATTAATAGATGAGCTACAGTCGAGATCATTGCTACAATATTTTGCCGCTTTGAGTCAATCGAAAGCGATTAAATAAATGTATTTATTTACCTTCATTTCGCGCTGTCATGTCATTTGCCGTGAAAAACAAAATAACGAAAAATGAATAAACAAATAAAACAAAACAATGTTTATGTGGGTACAAAAAGTCAATCACAACACTTCAACAATAATCAAACCACCCAAAAGTAGTGTTGAAGATCTTGTGTCTCGTGTTGTTTGTCTGTGTTTGTCCAGATGACTCTAAACACTGGCCATTTAGCGACCTCCATTACTCCAGTTCCTCTGAGAGCTCATTACTGAACCAATATTTCACCGATAGTTTCTACGTTCATCTAATAATTCAGATGCTCGACAAACTGACAGATTCGTTCAGAAATAAAGAAGAAATAATTGGTGCACACTCACCTGCAGCAGAGCAAAGCAGACAGCCACTTCTGATTGAAGACTGATTGACACACTTGATGACCACAAGAGGGACCCTGCAGATACAATGAGTGATAGAATGTTTGCTTGTTTATTTGTTTATTTACTTACTTAGAAAAAAATGTTAATCACTAAACACATTCAGTCATATGCAGGAGGGCCTATTCAAGCTAGATATTTAATGACCGTCGATAACTGGAAGTCATTTTCAGTCTGTCCTGTAGAAAGTGTGCAGTTCTCCTTCCAATCCGCTAGAGGCGCAGGAGACCTCACGTTCAGCACGAGGCTCACCTTTGGCTTTCTGTAAACAACACGACGCTTGACCACAGTCAAAACAAACCTTTCTGAGCGTTTTAAAGATATAAAAGTAAATTTCCTGCAGGTGACAGTCAGTGAGAGCCTTTAAATGTCACTTATCAGCGCACATTTCAGCCCTTTCAGGTAAAAACATGCGACTATCTCTGGATGATGTGCAGGAATGCTGGACACTCCATCACCTGTAAGTAACTTTACACTTGTGTCGTTAAAGGATTATAAAGCAATGCTTCATTTGCATTTAATCGTTAATGATGTTTGTATTGCGGTGATTCCTGTAAAGATTATCATGTAGAATAATAATATTAAGCAGTAGTGCTGTTTGTTTTGTCTGCAGTCTAGTGAATTCATGTCTTCATCTGCATGACAGCATCATGACATCTTTATTTTTTAAGCTTCTAGTTATGATTCATCCAGAATTAATGATTTGTGTGTCCAGTTTCATGTTATAAACTTTAAAATATATAATGATACATGTTTAAATTGTACAACTGCATTGGTTAAAATTATACTAAACACTGTAAACCAGTTATCATTTGATGGTGTTATGTGGCAATGCTATTTTCGTATAAAATTAATGTTATTTATTCCCATGATTTAGTATTGAACTGTGAAGTGTCATTTGTTACACTTTTAAATTCTGAATATGTCTTTACATTTTTAAAATATTATTAAAATAATACCTAAATACTTAAAATAAAGTTGTTCAATTAATTGTAATTATTTTAGACCCTTTATTTGTAACTACATTAAATAACTGAACAGGTTTATTGGTAGTATAATATGTAGTTTGACTTTTTTTGCAAAAACATAAATTCTTTATCATATTTTCACTTTTTTTTTTTATAAATTTGTGGAGGAGTGGTAACTTTAAATACAACAAACGAACAGTTGTTAGTATGAGAAACTAGTGGTTGAGTGGTCAGAGCTCTCGGTAAGAGATCCAAGCCTGACGCAGCAGACCAGGGTTCAAATCACCACGCTGATACTAGTTTGAGGAATTTTTTCAAAAAAAAAGGTTTTTTTTCCAAAAAAAAAAATTTTCCCTTCTTTCTTTTCAACTCCTCCTTCCATTCTCTCAGCTCCGCCTCTCCTTGCGCCGCCTCTCCTTGCTCCACCTCTCTACTTGTCCCGCCTCTCAGTCCAGCCTCTCAGTCCAGCCTACCTTTCTGTCTCACCGCTGCAGGTTTGTCCGAGCCATCACCGCTGTGTAGTCTTACCGCCCCAGGATGCCTTTGCCGCTCAGTTGTCTTACCGCCCCAGGTATGTTTATGATCTGGTCCGTGTTTCACTTTGTGCTTTTGGTTTCCACCCTCTGCTCCGCCCTCTGTTCTGTTATACCGCCCCAGGTATTGTCTTTGGTGTACTCCACACACCCGAGCTGGGTTTCGTACCCACAACTCTCCGTAACTTTGTCCTCAACCAACGTGTGTTACCAGTCGTGCCATCCTGGCTTTCACATTGACACCTGCTTTTTGGCGCATTTTGTTTGTTTAATGATGGCAATTTAACCAAAGTAATAGTGAGATTTGAACTCGGGTCTCCAAGATGAAAGCCTAGTGCTTTACGTCCTGAGCCACTGAAGCTCTAGAGTTTATGAGGTGTTTTTCTGTATATTTAGTGATGCATTATTCTGAGTTTGCATAAGAAAGAAAGAAGATAGTATCTGCAGGATTCGAACCCATACTGTTAAGCACAATAACTGAATATTCTCCCACTGAGCCACAAGCTTAGTAATGTTTTATTTTTGTCTTATTGCAGTTTTATCAGCTGCATAGGAGTTTTATAAAAGCAATAGTGGGATTTGAACCCGGGTCTCCAAGATGAAAGCTCAGTGGTTTTAACAATGAGCCATTGATTCTGGAGTCTTGCAATGCTTTTGGATCTGGTTTTGATCAAAAATTTGTTTATGTGTCTAAAAATTTTAGTTTACAGGAGTAAACACTGGCAATAGTGGGGTTTGAACCCGGATCTCCAAGATGAAAACTCAAAGATTTTACCACTGGGCCATTGAAGCAGTGAGCAAGAGCTCTTTTGAACAGGGTTTTGTTAAAAATATATTTTGTAGGGCCAAAAATGTTTAGTTTACAGAGTTAAATATCTGCAATGGTGGGATTTGAACCCAGGTCTCTAAGAAGAAAGGTCAAAGATTTTACCACTAGACTATTGAATCTGATGGCTGTATGTGGTTTTGGACAGAGTTTTGTTGAAAGTTTTAATTTATATGGTTAAAATGCTTTAGTAAATAGGGTTAAACACCTGCATTTGTGGGATTTGAACCTGGGTTACTTGGGTCCAAGTTGTATGCTCAAAGATTTTACCCCTGAGCCACTGAGTCTCAGGTTCCCCATATGTTTTGGACTTCTCTTTTATAGGCAGCTTTCAGAAACAGCATTTACATTTATAAAACCAACAACAAATGCTCATTCAAAACTGCTTTTAGCTTCACAGCTTCAGTAGCTCAACTATTAACACATCAAGTTTTGAATCTTTGAGACCCGGGTTCAAATCCCACTCTTGCTGAGCTATTGAGTCTGAGAGTTGTTTAGGATGAAGTTTTATTTGTTTGATAACGCACATACATGGTAGATTATCTTCAAGTATGATTACCCACACTCGAACCTGCTTTTGATTTATCCAAGCTCGGCCAGGATTGAGAATGCAACCTTTCGATTACAAGTCCAAATCCCTAACCACTAGGCCACAGCTGCCTCTTATAATCAGCAGTCGTTGCATTTGAAACTCCTCTCATTCATTCATGTTTTTTTCAATTAGGAGTTTATGTACAATATTTAGTGGATGAGCAGAAGTGGATTTGAACTACTTTTAATCACTTTATGTTGAAATATTGAGCTTGACATTAGATTTGGACAAACATTGTGGAATTTAAACATGACGTTTGACTGAGGATTTTGAAATGTTATAAAAATAATGTTTTTTGTTATAACTTTAGGATTTGTTTACATTTCTTAATTCATGGTTCGCCTCATAAACCTTTACAGATGTACAGCATAATATTTCCATCCTAATTTTTCTATCACTTCTAGATGAGCTTGTGATTCATTGAACACAGCTGGCAGATCCTTTAGGGTTCATCAGTCCAACTGCTTCTGAGCTGAACCTGAGAGAGACATCTAGTGCTCAATGCTGAAATTACAGCTCATTCACAAACAAATGAGTGGAATATTGTTGCAGGTAAGGTAAAAAACACAATCATCATGACAATTGTAAATAAACTTTTTAATAAAAATACAGCTCCTCATATTTGACGTTTTTTAGTCTCTAAACACTTTTAATCAGTGTCATTGAGTAACCTATGAAAGATTAGTCTTCATAATCTCTCCGAGACACACAGTAGCGTAGCAGGACGCCTCCAGGTCAAAGTTTAGTGACAGACAGTGTGTGTTAGACTCGTCTGATGAACTCGTCTGCAGGCTATATGTGATGTTCTGTGGCTTAGCGAGCAGGGGTCGATAACATCCAGGGACGTTGAGTTTAAGGGGAGTCACTCTGAATCGGCAGGACTCCAAACCGTCTTGAGCCAATCGGTCTTGATACCATTGACCCAAAAGGTTTTCTGGATACTTGACACTATTTCCTGGCATAGGAAGAATCACCTGGATTAAAAACCACAGAGGCACAATAAGAGACTGATGGGTAAGAGTTACTGTAGCAGACATACAGAGCAATGAAAGACATCTGAAACAGTACCTGATCTAATGAGAAAACCTCATTCTTCTCCTCATCTGAAGTCACAACATGGATCTACAGCACAGAAAACAAGTGAAAATGAATGGAAAACCACAAATAAGAACAAGAAACAATAATACAAATGTACAATCATTCAACATACCTGCATTTATGTACACACACTCTTCTTTAATAAAATATTTGAAAGATTTATGCATGTTTAATTTATATATACATTTTTAAAATACTTCTTTACAAAGTAGACTCAAATAATCAAACAAATGTTTCTTAACGTTGTATTTCAGGGTAAATGTTAGGATATTATTAGATTGAAATTTACTCTGAATAAAGTGCGTGTTTGTTTTATTCTTATGATTTATTTCACCCAATTCAATCTAAACACAAACCGTTTCTGGCTATTATTTAGCAATAACTAAATCAAGACCCTTACCTGTGGAGCACTGAGCTCCTCTGTGGCATCTTTGAGCCCTTTTACAGGCTCAGCCCAAACCAGATCGCCCTGAACAGGCTTAAAGCCCAGTTTTTGCAGCCGGTATTTGGCTGCTTGGTTCCACACTCTGCTGCAGTAGGAGTGAAGGTAGAAGACCCTCATGCTGTGGGGTAAACTGAGCCAGCCACGAGTGCAACCCTCCTGTCCACTGCCGTACCGGTGGAGCGCCCGCAGCATGAGCCGCTCTCTGGCTTTATACGCTGGCATCAGCACCAAGCTCTCCTTGGCATTCCCTGAACGAAGAGAACAGTTAGTTGTTCTTGGATGCACTGAAACTGAAATAAATGAAGCAACAATGATCAGCATGTATTGGAAAATCCCCAATAATATGTTTTAGCTTCATGTTTATCTATTTTCTACAGCACATTGCTCAACATTAGTTGTTTAATTGTGCTTTACAAATAAAGGTTGAATGATTAAATATACTTATGTGGCTGAACTATAACTATTTTAGCTATCAGAGAAATCCCAGCACTCACCTGTGTGCAGAAAATGACGTTTAGCTTTGTTCTGGAGGTCATCGTCATCCTCTGGGGTGAAGAACAGCTTAACTGAAGCCTCCTGCTCAAACACAGTGTTTCTAACAAAAGCCGGAGCATCACATATAACTGATCAATGGAAATGACTCTATTACCATATTCTCCTTCAACAGCGCAAGCCCTACTTGATCTGCTTGGACACACGAACCACTTCCAAACCGCTGAGGACCGTAATAATTCACAAAGCCTTTGTTCTGGAAAATAAAAAGTAATATTTAGTAGTTCTGTGTGTACATCTCTTCATGAAATGCTGATGAACACACACATTTACCTTCACATTTTCCACTGCTTCCTCTATAACCTTTGGCAGCTCTGCAAGACCATGTTTCCCATGATGCTTCAGGTCTCTGATGACCAGCTCAAAGTGATTTCCCTGCAGTCTTCCAAGCTTAAGAGCTTCAAACGCAGGACGGACACGAGAGATCTCCATTCCCCTCCTCTCAAACTCTGAGCCTTTCTCCAGCAACCTGACACACAAATGTGTTTATATGCAAATCTCTATATGCATATCTACAAATGTAAAAAGAATACCATGATGAAGACTGACAATTTAGAATCCCAAAGACCCCATCCCTATCTTATCTTTAAAATCTTGTACTGTTATTCACGTCCTTTTTCTGCAGATTTCTGCTTTTTGTTGTTAAAATTAATTTGATGATTCCAGTTTTATAAAGCAAATCGATATTACATTATATTGGTGACAGTGAATGTAAAGTGTACATTTGCATACACATAATACACATAGAATAAAACTTTTTTTATTTTTAGACTAATATTTAAAGATTAGTACTTTGAGGCTTATTAGGTAAGCCCCTGCTTACTATATATATATGGATATTTTGCAATATATGCACTGCAATACTAAAAATGAAATTATGGCACCATCTTGTGGCTCTTCATAAGTACTTCATAATCACATTGAAAATACCTAAATAATGAGATTCAGTAAAAGAAAGACTTAATCAGGGGTCTGTTTACCGCTCTGGAGAGATCTTTTTCACTACCATGGCCTGGTAAGTAATGGCTCTCTTGTCTTTAATTCCTGCATAAGTGAAATCAGAGGGAAGCACTCCGAGTACTGCAGCCATGTAGCTGATGGCCTCCAGAGTCTCCAGGTTCTCCTTCCGAAGAGTAAAAGCTGATAGGAAAGGAGGATTGTCACCTAAACTTGGTTTTACATGTCAACAAGAGATGTTTCTTCTTCACTCACCCGTGTATAAACTCTCCTCCTGCATTTGACAGTCTGCCATCGTTCTCTTCTTGGCTTGTTTGCCTCTCTCCCTCAGTCTCACTGTAATGCAAGTCTTCTGCTGGTCCACAAAGCTCTTGGTTTCCACAAGCTTCCCAAAACGCCTGCTAACAAAATGATGAACTGACGTCCGGTGCTCCTTGCTGTCATCGGGCAGGAACGTGAAGACAGAACCAGGTGTTTTGGCATCAATAAACCTGAAAAAGTCCTCAGCTTCTCCTTCAGAAGCCAAACCGGCGAGCTCCTGGAAGTCTGGATCTTCTCTGACCCGGATCTCAGATTGGTTGGTCAGAGTCTGGAGGAAGGGGAAGTTGAACCGGACCGCTTTGTGGACCACAGCTCTCATGTGTTTATCAGGAAAAGTTCCCAATGACAGTTCCACCTTTTCTTGATCATCTGAACAGGGTTTTACCTTCAGTTTATTAGTAAAATGCTCCAGTTCCCTGTTCACACTAAGACCCAGGATCAGATTCAGATCAAAACAATCCTGAATTAAACTGTCAGTGTCATCTGGTTTAGATGGTTTTAATTTACCAATCCTTTTGGTAGTTTGACACGGTCTTTCTTCTTCTTCAGTATTTACACTGTTAACAAATTGTCCATTGGTGTCTATCTCAATAACAACAAAATCTTGAGGTGAGTTTTTTATGGTTCCATTGAAGCCTTCATGGTCTGATATAAAGCAGGAGAGAGTGTTTCTCTCCATTACTGAGTCCTGTACGATAAAAAACCTTAGTGATTAAAGGCACTCGATCATCAGTGGTTTATTAACTTGGATATACATGTCGGTTTGCATATATAATGAAATCTTTTGATTTGAGGGTGTTTACGGTACGATTTTTATACTTAATAAACAATCGAAATATTATTTCAATTAATCGTGTGTTGTAAAACCGTAAACAAAGCAGATTTTTAACAAAAACCTAGTTTTGTTTTAGAATTTCTTTACTCACCCGCGTGCTGTTGTTATTGTCGGTTGTTTCCGCAACACGTGGCCCCGCTCTTAAAGGCGCAGTAGCGTAGAAGACAAGTGCAGTTATATGCGCTTATGTTGCGCCTTAGTTTTGTTTATAAGTTTGTTTATATATTGTCGATTAATTTCACTTATTATAATAAAAACCAGACAGACAATGGCATGTTATAGGCTATTATGTTTTTTTTTTTAAAACGTGCCAGTAAGATTCAAACATTAAAACAAAATTGTGCTATTAATACAATTTAAGATTTAAAAATTATTTTACACTTTGTTTACCAACATTAACTTTTAACTGTGTGTACTAATCAAAAACCATAAAACCTAAATATTGTTACTTGAATAAATTAATTAAAAATCAATTAAACAATGAATAGACAATTTAATAAATATTAACCTAACACAAAATAAAATTAGCCATTTAACAAAACTTAAAATAATATAAAATAACTAAGTTACATTATTTCCATTCACTTCACCTATAGATGTTGTGTGGTGAATGCACTGGCACCGTTGTCCTGTGGCTGCCGTCGCATCATCCAAATGAATGCTGCATGCTGGTGGTGGTGTGGCACGACCGTCCTTATGATTGTGAAGTGATTTGGGTGTATAGCCATACACCTTAAACGTGCTATATAAATACACATTACTTACATCCATTAAAAAGTACAATAGCCCCTTAAATGAAACCAAACTAATATAGTCCGACACATATCAGCCTTATCAATATTTAATATGTCATGTACTTATGGTAATTTAGAACCTATAACATCATCACATTACGCTCATCACAAACTCCAAACTCATAAAGACCAACAATAACACGAGACTCCAAATGTAAAGGTCTCTTCAAATCTTTTTTATTTTTCTCTCCCCTCTCTTTCTTATACAATGCATAGAAAAAGACATTTAAGACTATAATGATTCTGTTCCAGACTTCACAAGACCCCTACATAGGAGACACATCAATAGTGGTTTGCCTGTTGGGAATCAGCGGATGGAGGTTCGTACAGTCTCTTCCCTTATGAGAGGTTTCAACAGCATCCCAAGTGAACTGAACTCATGCATTAGTGTGGTTGCGGATGGCTTGAAATGGAGACTGGCCATTAGTTGACATGTAAAACATTGGTTCAGACAGACAGGATGGTCATAAACCCCTGAAGATGTTGAGACAACAATATCGTCTGGACAAACAGCTTAGAAAAATAGCATCTCTGCAGGTTTAGTCTAGCAGAACGTGGAAAATAGATGCGATTGTTTTGTGTTGTGATGGATTCTATCATAATAATGTCTAGAATTAATCTTCTTTAAAAAAATTATAATAATCAAAAAACAAATAATTAATACATTATAAAAGGGGTTTTCAGCACAATTTTCTTGGCAAATCCTTCATTGAAATAATCCATACAAGCTGCGAAAATACTGATACTGTTGAACTTGATTTATTTGGTCACTCTTTAAAGGGATAGTTCATCCCAAAATTAAAATTAACTCACACTCAGGTGGGACCAAAGGTGAGCTTCTTTGTGATGTTACATATATATATATATATATATATATATATATATATATATATATATATATATATATATATATATATATATATATATATATAAACGTGGTATTTTGAAAAGTTTTAGAAACCATTAGCTATTGAACAAGCAAAGAGCGAGTCACAGAACCTTAATTCTTCGATGAATCATCCCTTTAAATTTTTTTTCTTTACCTGGAATCAATCACAAAGTTGATTAATAATGCCTCATAAAACATCTGACCTTCTTCAACACAAGAAAAGAACCTTTCTGTCCATGTTTTCCAAGCACAAATCACACTAAAACCAAATTCCCAGACAAATATTAATGCTAAAATGTAAATCTACCACAGAAAGTGCGGTTTATACCTGTACTAGATTACACGCATTTCATTTTTGAAGTTTTTCTTAAGGAAAATATAAGCACTAAATGGAGGATCTCCATCAGTATTGCACTCTATTGGCTAATATGCAGGTAAACAGCGTAATAGTGTAAAACTATTACCAGGAGCTTCTTAAAATACATTCTAGTGTACTTCTGTTTTCTTCAACCTAGCGTTTCATATTGCAAGCTACAAAGTGTCATTTCACAGGCCTTAGTGTTGTACTTTGTGCATAGATCAGTCTATAGCGCTGTGGTCTACATGAGTCAAGGTAAAAATGGGATTGGCTTGAGGACGGGATTCATTAGACTAAGTGTCAGTCGTGGAATAGGAAGAGGGTTTTAATCATCGTCGCCGCCGTCCCCTGGTGCCCGTGTGATTCGACGGCCTCCTCTTTTCCCTGTTGGCCCCTTGGGTTTGGCAAAAGCTTGCTTGTGCGCATGTTGTTTGGGGTGAACCTCTTCGTACATAAAGTCACTGGTTAGTTCGTCACCGTTGTCGATTTCCAGCTGAAAAGGTGAAGAAGCACGAAATGAGAAGCTGTAACATTAAATGCACGTTCATGCCTCAAGGAATTAAAGGGGCAGTTCACCACCAAATGAAAATTTGCTGGTTATTTATAAACTCTCAGGTCAGTCAAGAGCTTTTTCTAACGCCTGTTTCACACCGCAAGCGTCAGCGGCGCGTGAGCAGAGCGTGAGCAGTGCGTGTGTTTTCGGCGTCCATGTTAACAGATTAGAGCTTTCATACCGCACGCAGCAGCAGCGCGTCAGAGCGAGGCGTGAGCGTCGCCGAAGCAGCAGTGCAGCGATAGTTTCGGCGCTGGGTCTATTTTTGACGCGCTGATCAAGCTCAATTAAAGTGACAGTGCATTGAGAATGACCAAAACACATTGAATGACAGTAAAAACTAACAATTTTACCCAATAAATGCGTTAATAATGTCAAATGGTTTATATATAGTCATTCAAATGAACTTAAAACGATTAAAAACGGCAACAAACATTTATTTAGGCCCGAACTACAAAACCAAATGTAAAACTATTTTACTAACAGTTTTGCTTAAGTTGCACACTAGTGTTGTACGAGAGGGGAAATGGAATATTTACGGGATTTGTAGTCCATAGCGAAGTGTATTGTGGGTAGTGTAGTGCGACACGCATGCTGGATTATGTGAGCTCGCTGTGTTCTGTGCAGCTAGCAGAGCAAGAAAGTTTTAATCGGCTTTGTTTTATGTTCACTCGAATTATTCCTAACGGGAGCTGTTTGCACTGTGAATCTGACAACACGAAAATAAGTAAAAGAATGGCATGTATTGGTTACTTTTGTCCGTCTCATCATCTGCACGAGCATGAATTAACGAGCTGTTATTCTGCCGCTGGACAGCACTGAAGCTGAGAAATTAACACTAGTTTGATCATGTATAAATATCATTATAACTATATTGTATAAATATGATTATAACTAGGTCTACAGGAACCTGATAATCAAAAAACAAATGACATGATATCACAGGCGATTGTCTTCTGACTGTAGACAATTCTCATATAAGTTAGCTTTAGAAGCATACAGTACTATTTGATCTATAAAATTTGTAAAATAAACATTTGCAGGTTAATGAAACAGCATAGGAGGGGCCTTGGTACAGATGAAAAGTTTAAAAAGTGTATTTGTATATAGAGGGGTAACTAGATAGAATAGACAGAGATAGGTTGATCTCAGCAGCAGCTGCCGAAAACCTGCGCGCTGCAGACGCAGCTGGTGTGAAAGGCAAACGCCTGCGTGCTGCTACTGCTCGACATACGCGCTGCTCACGCTCTGCTCACGCGCCGCTGACGCTTGCGGTGTGAAACAGGCGTTAGTATAACAGTTAGTAATATTCACAGATTAATCATTTCGCATCAGAAGATCTCAATGTATTATCAAAAGCAACAAGTTTTAATTTAGTTTTGCCTGTATATGTTTGTAAGTGCTGATAGCCATTGGCTTGATTTTATGAAATCACCAAGCACCATAGTTTCAGCTAATACTATTATTTCATGTCCGCCTGAAGAATAAAAGTACATTTCTAATGGCCTGAAGTTGCTAAAATTTTGCTCATTTAAACATTTTTTTGAGTGAACCATCCCTTTAAACAGCATGGCGTATGCTGAACTTTATACTAAAGTAACATGCAATACCTTTTTGGCAATTTCAATGCCCAAGTTTCTCTCTACAGTGTCTATGAGAGGGTTCTTGCAGCTTGAATACAGCATTCTCTCCTTGATGCTGCATTTATAACCAGGCATAGAGTAGATGAACACTGCAGACACAAAAAGATTAATCATATTGGTTGTGTTCAGAGACGATCATTAGATGTTCATTCATTCATTCATTCATTCATTCATTCATTCATTTTCTTTTTGGCTTAGTCCCTTTATTAATCCGGGGTCGCCACAGCGGAATGAACAGCCAACTTATCCAGCATGTTTTTACGCAGCGGATGTCCTTCCAGCCGCAACCCATCCCTGGGAAATCATTAGATGTTCCTAGTAAGTAATTCATTTTATGTAATGTACCATTATTTATTATGCTTAAGCTGTTCTCTGTCAACATTTAATACAAATTCCAATTTAGATAAATCGGGAATATATTTAAATACATAATTCCATGACAATAATTAGATATTTCACAAAGCTGTATTAAATTGTGGCTAACAAAACACTTAATTTCATATAAATTCTCCTTTGCAGAGAGAATCCTTCCACCTTACATGTGTAGCATATCAAGATGCTGATTAGACAGCATGATTATTGCACAGTTGTGCATTAGGCTGGCCATCATAAAAGGCCACTCTAAAATGGGTGTATCATTTTTTTTTCCCTAGAAAATGCCACTGAAGACTCACAGTAAATTCAGCTTTAACCACAGGAACAAATGACATTTAAAAATATTAATATTTAACTATGTTTTAAATTGTAATACTATTTCACAATTATCCTTTTATAGTATATGATCAAATAAAAAGAATTATCTTATCTCACAGACACACATCGATTATCACTCAGCATAACATATTTATGTAAAAATAGACACATAATCACATTAATAAAATCAATTCAATAGATGTATGACGTAAAGCAGTAAAACTACATTTAATATTTTGATTCTTAAAAACATCTTACCACGTTTCAAAGGCTGCATTTACACTGCTTGGTTCAAGTGACTCAATTTTTTTCTTATCGGATATGACCCATGTATGTGTAAGCAGGAAGAAAAAACACATGGATTTACTCAAATCAGATTCAGGCCTTGTTCATATGTGTGAATTTATCAGATATGAATCGAATCCATGCCCTCGTGTCTCAGGTAGACCAGATTTTCACCTGTCACTGCAAGTTGCGCATCATTAAAAACCATAGCGAATGACATCAACTCTGTCGCTTTCATTTCAGAACAGACTTCAGTCCCAAACCTTAAACCTCATACATGAGGACTAAAACAGCTTTTATATTGTCATGTAGCACAAGTATTTAAGTAAGTATTTAAAAAGAGAAAGTGAGTGAGCGCAATATCCGCCATGTAACCAATAACAACGAATATAAAACATTTTCTGTCAAAGACTATAGTGAAAAAAAATGAAACAATCGGATATGAGTCACTTTTAAAAGATGATGCAAGCAGGTCATCAAAAAAAAAATCAGATTCAGTCACAAAAATCGGAATAAGCCATCAAGATCTGCAGTGCAAATGCAACCAAAGACTATTCGATGTGTGTCTCTTACCTGTGGACTCAAGGTAGTCTCCTTCATGAGAGTGTTTGTAGAGGAAAAAGTGATACCTAGCAGCATCTTTCGGGATCCTTTTAGGCAGATCTTTCAGATCCGTTGGAGCCGTACCAGATAATTTGATGGATTCATTAGGAAAATCTATTTCCTGTTAATAGAACACAATTAATTAATATCGCATAACAGCCCAGTAATAATGAACCAGATCTTTTTCTGTCCCATCACACGGAGGTCAACCCAACCAGTCTGCAAAGTAAACATAAAGATCCGGATATGATGCATTTTCAAATATACAGAGCAGAGCAGTTATAAAGGCAGGATAATATGCTATTGTTCAGAGCTGCCGGGAGCGGTGGAGGTAATAAAAAAGGCCTGAAGTACCAGCTGAACGTAGTTAATCCTCTTGTCCCTGAACTGCTCCAGAGCCTGAATAGCATCTCTCTGCATAGGGAAGGCCACTCCCTGAAGAGTCTGCTGCTTTGTGTCCACATGGACGTCTGTCTGCAACTGAAACGCACAGAACATCCTTAATCAAGGTCTGTGCATTTGGCCTGTAATCAGCAAAACGATCATTAAAAGGATAGTTCACCCAAAGAATTACATTTAATTACACAAACCCGTGTGGAGTTGATTTCTGGTAGTGGTAACCAGACAGTTGATGGTAACCATTGCTTTTTCATAGTAGAAAAAACATATACTATGGAAGTCAATGCTGACCACCAACGTTCTGGTTACAAACGCTCAATGGGCCCTATCATACACCCGGAGCAAGGCACGACGCAATTGTTGTTTGCTAGTTTCAGCTTGGCGCAAGAGTCGTTTGATGTTTTGCAGCATGCTGTTTAAATAGCAAATGCATTTGTGCTCATCTGTGCGCCCATAGGCGTTCTGGTCTAAAAAAGGAGGCATGTTGAGGCGCATTGCTGGCAAAGCAAAGCCGGTCTATAGTCCAGCGCAGAGCGCGTTAGTTGCGCGCCTCGCTTACACATTGCTTAAAACACAAAGGTTGTACAGCAATATGCAAATATCTTTACATTTGAAAAATAATTAAAGGATTAAAATATGACAAAAATTCTTATTTTCTAGCCTAGATAAATATAAAAACCACCGCCTCCATGCCTTCTTCATCTCTGGAGGCTTTTTTCAGTTTATTCATAACAATTTGCTTTTGTATAATGTTATTATTATTAGCATTATTATTTATTATATGCATATTTATATTCGTTTTATTAAAAACAAGCTTAGATTTGCGAATTTTTCCATTCTTAAAATAGCAAAAGTGGATTCTGACACGCCCTGAATGGATTTGCGCCCTGCGCTTTAAACTTTGCACATGGATCGTCAAAATAGAGCCCAATATCTTCGTTACCATTCAATAAGAGGAATAAACTTATATAGTTCTTTTCTTGTTAGATGGTTTATGTATTATACACTCTGCAATTCATGTTGTAAAATATAAAGCAGTGTATAAACGTATATTCAGATTTGACTATTCTGACATATCAAAACCTTTTTTGTTGTGCATCACTGAACTGATTTAATAGTCACCATTTAGCATAACATTTTTAAATTGCAGGCTTCAAAAAATTATTTTACACACATTAATGTAGCATAAAATGTATGCCAATATATTTATAACCATAAAACCACAATATATAATCTCTTTTAGTATTATATTTAATAAATGAAACCTTAAGACTTCTAATCTCACTTGCTTCCATTGAATTTAGCCCTTGAAATCAGCTTGTTATACTGCTTCATGTCACAAACATATATTAATAATACATTATTCATTTTTTTATGCATAACGTCTCTAAATTAGCATATTAGAATGACCTCTAAAGGATCATATGACACTGAAAATGGCATTAATGATGCTGAAAATAAAAAATATATATACAATTCTTATATAAAACAGTTTCTTTATTATAGTCAAATTGTAATAATGTTTTAAAATATTATGTTTTTACAGTTATTTGATTAAATGCATGCATAAATAAACATATAAACCCAAAAGAGTAAACTTAAATTAAATATTAGAGTGTACACATCAAAAACTGCAGGCCGCATTCTATAAAGCGCCCGCTGAATGAACTTCCTGCTCTGCCAGGATTGGGAGCAGCGTTTCATCCAGCCATCTACTCAATAAAAACCTCCCTTTCAACAAATTAATAAAAATAAAACACCCTAAAGCTGCTTTCCTCCTCGCTCATACATGTAGATTAGTGTAGCATTATCTTCCTCCCGCAGCTGCTTCTGCTCCGGGCGAGAGCAGTGAGCCGTTTGATTGGTTCATTTAACGGCCTGTCATTTAGAAACAGCCAATAAACTGAGCAAGAGTCTGCAGAAGGCAGGTCTGGCAGCATCCTGTACCAGTGGATCCAGAAGCTGCTTTAAATGAGAGAGCAGCGCACGAGACTCAGCTTTTCTATTTTTGGTCTGCATATGTTTGATGCTAAATATTACATGCGCTTATGTTTTTGGCACAATCTTTTCTTCCATAAATCACATTATTACAGTAGGCTTTTAGCATTAGGATGGCAAAAGGTTGTGTGCATGGTGATTTCTTTGTAAACGTATAACGCATATGGGAACTAAATACAACTAGTGCATTGTGCATTTATATTTAATGTGTACTGTATGTGATTTCAACAGCCAAGAATAATGATCAAAATGACCCATTATACAGGCCCGGATTAAGAATTCAGAGGTCCCTGGGCACAATGTCTTGTAGGGCTGCACCCCTATAATTAAATTAAAAATAAGATTAATATCATATTTTTAAAATAAAATTAACTATAATTTATTGCCCGGATTTTTAAACTAAATGATATACAGTACATAATTTACTAAATTTACTTAAAAAAAAACATTACTTTAAAAAAAATACTAAATACAACTAGTGAAAATTAATGGATTTAAATATACTTGTTTAAGTTGACTGATGCAGTACTAAAAATTATATTTAAGTGTATTTTTAATGTATAACTTATAATGCATATGATTTGGTTATAACACGTCTTTAATCCAGTTCTATGAATCGGAGTCCTCCATTATACACACACTTTTTAATGATTCCTACTTGTCTTCCTTGTAATGAAGTGTAGGCAAAATCTGATATGCAGTGGGGGAAAAAAGATGCCTGATTCGAACCGGGTTCATGATCGATCGCGTCAAAAGATGTTGCCATCCGCAAGCTAAGCCACTCCACTGCTGACTGTTGTGCTCTTTAGTAATATTGTCTCTGTCGATCAAACGGTGATGGGCATCAATCGCTTAACTAGTTGTTTTTGCACTAAGTCTATTTAGCCTAAATAGACACTCCAAAATCAGCATTTTCCCCCCCTCGCAAGGGCCCCAAGTGTGCACAGGCCCCTGGGCCTGTGCCCATAATGCCCATTGGTTAATCCGGCCCTGCCCATAAATATCTATTTATAAAATCAAAAGCATGTGTTTATATTGGATTTCATATAATATTTTTAATTAAAAAAAAGTATAATGTTATATTGTATATTTTAATACTGTATATATCAAAACAGTAAACATTCATCCATAATAAAAAAAAGTTTGGTTTTAGTTTGGTTTGGTATAGTTTTATTAAAATATGGCTGCTGAGCGTGCACCTTGGAGACAATGCCAATAAGCTTGGGGTGTCACATTCTCATTTCCGATGGAGACGCGCACATAGGAGTGACGTGCACATGGTGTGCAAGCAGCGCGCATGTAACACGCACATTTTCCAGGTACTCCTAGTGGAAAAACATCTGAATTTTCCGAATGCCCCAAACACTAGAACGAACCAATTTGCTTCACACAGTGTATAGAATATAAACATTTCAGTAATAATGGCAGACTAATTACCTCAGACAAACACACAAAGTACGCACTCATGTTTGTCATTTCAGATCACAATAACAACACACGAGAAAATGACTGCCGTATAGCAGCAGTGAGGAGATTGTAAATTTAAAAAGTATGTCACCAAAGTGGCTTTTTGGTTTCTTTTCTTGTGCATCCCAGCCACTAGCTCCCCATCTGAAAGAGTTTTTACCATAGGGGTAATGTAGTCATTCAACTTTACAATCTGTAATGTTGCAGTATATATTTGAATAATGATGGCTGGTTCCCTTCACTTGGAAGCTCAGATTTGATTATCATAATTTGTTTTGTTTGCAGAGTTTGAGGTTTACTGTATCTCTATTATTGACACCTTACAGATGTTGATCTGCCTTTACAATTACACACACTTTGTAACATTTTATTTATCATGTTTAAGAGTCTCTTTAACACTTAAGTTTATTTTTAATATAAAGAAATCATTTTGTTTTATGTCAAAAACATTTTGGTTTTTGACTATTAAAACTATTTGCCTTAGTAATGTTGGTAATTTAAAATAATATGGTTAAATAAATAAAAAATCCTACTATTCCTAAACGTATTGTTAAAAAATATTCAATAATTATCAATATCGAATGATATGAAAGATGAGAACGTGATCATTTTTTTTGCAATATCGCCCAGCCCTAATTAAAATGTATTGAAAAAAAATAATCAATAAAAATGCACAAATTGCTTAATTATTGTGGCTCACTAAACAGCGTTCTAAAGACCATTCCGGTTTCGTAAAGATCCATCATTGAGTTCGCCAGCTTAACAGAGAGGATTTTGCACATAATGTACTAAAAGCTTCAGCTCATGAGGGGACTGATGCTCACGGTGTCTGAGTGTTTGTGTGTTTGTGCTGAAGTCAGCTTTACCTCATTGAGTTTGATCTGCCTCAGCTCCTCCTCTGCTGCAGTCAAAGGCAGCGGCGCCGCCTGCGAGCTCAGGTACTTTTTATAGCCATTTAGAGAGACGTCGTCCTGTGCAGGGCAGACAGAGATGCATTAGAGAGAAACCTGTGGCTCAGATCTGTTCAGGAGAGCATTTGGCAGCTCAAGTGCAATATATCATACCTTCACTGTGCCAAAAATCTCCTCTTTAATGTGGCCGCCGCCAAACTCTTTCTTCAGCGTGGCCCTCGTAGCAGCATATAACATCTTTTGTCGAACCTGTAAAGAAAAGAAAAAGTTTTGCTTTCAAACTAGGCTTCTGAACCACAGCATTTATGAGCTGTAGTTGTTATAGACCATGAGGGATGTAAACAAAAACAATGGTCCCAATGTATTTCCTGTTATACATTTTTAATTTCTATGGCTTTTAAATATAAACTAAAGAAAATGAGCCACATATTGATAAATAATGTTATGATAGCTGTTTTACCATTAAGTTATAATCGAATTGCTTCTTGTTACAGATATGAAATAGTTTGATAACAAGCAGGAAATGTTCATAAGCCAATAACATTACCACATTGAAATGGTCTATAACATAATAGTAACCACAAACATGATCACAAATCAGGCATAAATAAATAAATAAATACATATTTACATATTACTTTACATATTACTTTAATCATTAAATGTTTTATCAGGGTTTGCTGCAGGTTTCAGAAAGTTAAATTTAAGACTTAAGACAATTTTAAGACCATTATGAATGAAATTTTAGACTTATACAGGCCTAAATGGTAAGGAATTTTTCGGATTGCCCAGTTGGAAAAGATTTTTATTTGCCCGACCAAACTTTTTAAAAATAATTTAATAAATGTTTTTAATATTTTTGTTAATTCGGAGCAAAATATTTTAACTATAGTCAAAACAAGCAAGCTCTAGTTATTTACATACACTTTTTTTCAACATAATCTATAATAAACTAAACGTATGTACAACAGTATGTCCAAGTCAGCTTCTTCAGCAGTAAATAATTGAAGAACTAGTGTTATTATAAGGCAAATAATTAAAACATGATGGTAAATAGAGTGAAAATCATATTTTTAAAGTTTTACTGAGATGGATTGTTGATGATTGTATGGGTGGTGGCCAGATTGGGTAGCTATACATGAAAAAGAAAAATTAAGACCTTTTCAAAAAAGATTTAAGAGCTACAACACATTATTACAGTAAATTTTCGACTTGTTAAGGCTTAAAATGTAGTTTTTGAGGCACTTGTTTAAGACATTTTAAAACTTTTGAAGACCCTACGGGTACCCTGTTTATATGTTTATAAAAATATATAAAGTGATATATTTAAATGTTTATTTTATAAAGCAAGACAACATATGGCAATAAAAATAGCAATTATTATTATTTTTTCTAGATTATCAAAGTTAACTTATTATAAGACATTGAAACTTTGTTGCAGATATTTTTAAAGTTTCAGTTCATTTAATATGATTATTATATTAAATGAGGACTATTGTTTATTATTAAACTGTTAAACACTTTAAATGATATTGATATCCACAATTTTAAATTAAGATAAATATATGGACGTAATTAAAGATAAATAATAATAACAAAACAAGCTATTTTTGCCCTAGAGTGAATCAGAAAAAAAGTTAATTATATTTGTATTGATTAAACCTTGATTAGCCCTTGTGCACTGTTCAAAGGCACTGTTCATAAGTTATGGACAAATTAGGACTCAAAAATGACCCCATGAAACGTACATAAGGGTTAATTCCTGATTAATTCCCGAAAAGCTGCTTTGACACAAATTGCACTGTATATAGGCTCTATAGAAAAAACATTACAATAAACTAAATAAAATGTAACTGAAAACATTTTTACAATAGTATTAAAATTAGAATAGCGTTTCACTGGTCCTAAAATGACATTTTAAGAGTAATGTTGTTATAGTAAAGCTCTTGGTCTTAATCAGCATGAAACCGTGACACATTTGGGTGTGATTGAGACTCATTTTTGTTTCCCTGTTTGTTGAACATTGAGGGAGAAAATTAGAATTGCAAATCTGTAGCACAGAACCACAACTGTCTGCTTTCTGCATCGTCACCGTGCTTTTCATTTAGAAAAAAAAATGCCCTGTGAAGAGTAGATTACCATCAAGAATGCACAATACGAGCTTATCTGATATCAATTCAGTGTGTGATTGATCACATCAAAGCTGGCTCTTCATCATCATCCACATTAACTTCAGAAATACAACAATATCCATAATGATCAGATCCACATAGTGCTGTGAAAACCTCTTATTATAGGCTGCTTTTCTATGGACGGGCTTAACTGGGAACCAGATATTTTAAAGAGCTTTAAACCAGAGCTACTATATATGGAGTGCATGGATTAAACTGCACTGAACGACGCCTTCTAATGATTTCCTTTGGCCTGAAAGAAGACGAAACAATGAACTTAATTTTTACCGGCGAGTGATCCGGAGACCAGGCCAGAAAGACCCACTCGTAGCCCTGGTTGTTGGTGGTGTCCAGCCTGAAGAGGAGGTACGAGGGCATGTCGTCCTCCACAAGGGGCAGAACGCAGCCGTCCCATTCCTGGTCCCATTTCTTAGCAGCTCGTTTGCTTCCGCCAAGAACTAACTTCTCTAAGCAAACACAACAGAAAAGAGGATGCGGGGATGAGATTCTTGTAATCAGAAAAGTGCATTGCTATTATTTATCTTAGAAAACAGTACTTTAGGGTTACGGTTCACTGCTGGAAACCCTGCTGCCAGTATTTTACAGTTAAATTACAGAAAAGACGTCATTTGGAAAAACAGTAATGAACTGTAAGATTACGGTTCGCTGCTGGAAATTCTGTTGTCAGTATTTTACCATCAAGTTAGAGAAAATCCGTAATTTGGATAAACAGTAATGAACTGAGTACGGTTCACTGCTGGAAACCCTGCTGCCAGTATTTTACCGTTAAATTACGAGAAATGTTTTTACAGTTATAAGTGTTTAAATATACGGTAAAAAACGGCAGCTGTGGTTGCCAGAATAATACTGTTACAAAATATGGTATAAACCTTGAACTAAAAAAATTACAGTAAACTACTGGGTTTTTTTTCCCATTATTTTGTAGAGTTAAGAACTAAAATCTAAAGATTTCACGTTTGTTACACTGACAAAAACACAACCGTAAGAATTTAGTGATGAGAAAGTCATATGGTTTACCCTACCATGACGACTTCTGTTACTGAGAAACCAGGAAATGTGAAAAGGGTCTATTAGATTTACACTTCTGTAAAATTATCATACTGAATATTGCAGGAATAGCTGAGGAAAGGTCACTTAATTATCCGAAACTTTATTTCATAATATCTTTTCAGAAAAATAACATGACATGCAGTAGACTGGACAGACTTGTAAAATTAAATTTCACTAATTAAAGCCTTTACAAAACATAAATAAGACATTTTGCCTTGACAGCAGTGAAATAACTGAACTAGCTGAATTATGATATATATATATATATATATATATATATATATATACACATTTTATTTGGAGTGTATTTCTACTAAAATAGCATGTTTATAAAACCATGTAGTAATAATGATATTAACTTTAAAAAACAAGATGTGAAATAACGACTAAAAAACAAGAGGGTAAACATATAGATGTTAAAAAAATTAACCTTAAATATTTGCAGTTTATCTAGATTTTTTTATTTCTAGTTTGTGTTTTTAAGGTTAATTCATTAAATGTTGGTTTTATTTCATAAATGTTAATGATAAATTAAAAATATTATAATTTAAATGAAATAAGTTAGATTAAACACAAAATAATAAAAGATTGTTTTTAGAGATGTTTATACACAATGTGTTTTATCGTCACATTTATAATTGATTGCAGTCTGATGCATAAAATCTCACCATTCTCAATCACTACTTTGATGAGCCGATATTCTCCATTCCGGGCCTTCGCAAAGATTTCTTTCACTTCCCCGGTAGCTGAGAAGAGAAAGCAGAGGACACAATGAGACCATTTATTCTGATGCGAAACAAAGCTGACCATCTCCTGACAACGAAATTGAAATTTGGCAGATGAACCAAAGCCAGAAGTCTAAAGAGGTATTGTTTGGGCCAGTTTTGAAGACTGCAGTCCATTCCTGCAGCAGGTTGCAAATTCACCCTGCAAAGTCATCATCTCAATTAAAACTTCAGCATTGATTCATAGACTTATTGTCATAGTAAAACCAACACCACTGCAGTAAAAGCTTAATGTAAACAGACGTCTATTGCATAACGCTTAGCAACACCTTTCAATAAAGGTGACACGGTTATTATTACAGATAGACCTTTGAAACCTGCTGCCTTCCTTATAAGAGCACAACCCTCAGCCTGACTACACACTGATAGTGACAGACTAATCGGAGTTTATTTGCATGACCATATTAGAGCAACAAAAGGCAGAGTAGAGTTGACACAGATTCACAGGCTGACTCTGGTTTGTTTACTGCAAGCGCTCAATAAAACTCCATAAGGTAATTCGGTCTCAGCGGCGGCGACCACCACAACAACAGGTTCTTCTGTTTACAAACAAGCACTAAATAAACAAACGGGCTCTAAAGCGACGCGACAGACTTGGTCTGGCGTATCTGAATCGACGGTAGACAAGATCGCGAAGGGTTTTACCTTGGATGCCGGTTTGATGAGACATTCTGGCTCTCTCGCGTCGGCCGGTTGGTTGATGGTAGTAGTGAAAGAACACGGAAGTCGGAGAATGAACTACAGTCATTTGAGATGCCTGTCATGTGATGTCATTACGTGGCCCCGCCCACTGCGGCGCTCTGTGCAATATAGTGTAAATATTGTGTGTATAGATAGCCTATATACACAAATACTTGTAAATATCTATGTTAGCTTATTATATATAGTCTATTATATATATATATATATATATATATATATATATATATATATATAATACACACACACACACACACACACACACACACATATATATATATAGATATATATATAGATATATATATAGATATATATATATATATATATATATATATATATATTCAAATTATATGTAAATATATTTCTTCTGTATCTTTTTGTACTTTTTTGTATATCATATTATTATTTAGTTAGTTTGGAGTCTGTGAAAATGTTTAGATAAAAACTGTAACAAAATAATTACTACAATAATAAATAAACAAAAAGCAGCAGTAATAATAATAATAAATAAGAAAAGTTAAACAAGTAAATAACAAATAAACCTATCACAGTATGATCAGTAGAAAAAAATCAATGTAGTGATGTAGCCTACTTAAATATCTTCCACATAATATCAATTATGACAATTTTTACACTATAAATTTGGTCTTTATATGCATCAATCACATTTTGATGTCTTCAACCAGTTAAATTTGGTACAATATTCTTTGGTAATTTAATTTTGGATCAATTATTGTTATGAGTGACATTTAATGGGCAATTTACTTTTAAATCATGTTAATGTTTAATAGTTGTTATTATTTGGTAAAAAAAAAAAACTAAACCAAAATTAAACGGCACATATGGTGTTGAAAAAAATACAAATACAGAAAAAATAAAAAATACAAATACATATGGTGAATATAAAATACATAATACACGTAAAATAGGGCTTTCCCCTTTATTTATGACAATATATACATTATATTTGACAATTTATGCGGGATAAAATTAAACAAACAAAATAAGTTGAAAATTATTCATATTAGTTTGCTTGCTTAAATTTAGCCTATATAAATTATTATACTTTCACATTTTGTAATATCATACCTACTGTATAATACGAAACAGTATAGACAGACTCTTAAATGTTAATATGCGGTCCTTCTGCAGCATCCAAAAGACAGAAAAGCCCTGCACTGCGCAGTCAATGCTGAGAGAAGCAGGCCACTGGCATTAAGCTGTGCACTCGGGACAAATCCTGGAAGCAGTGGAATTTCTCAAATGCAGGGTGGGGTTGCGAACATCCCACAGACATACTATATAAATATACTCTCTCCGACTATAGTGTTGATTCAGTTGCTGCGCCTGCATGCGTGTTAAATAAACCACAGACTCAGCAGGGAGGAGCCAGCAATACAGCAGCTCATAGTAAAAGTAGACTAAACCTTCTTTGTGAATTAGAGGTTACCGGGCCACACACCCTTAATCAAGATCCTCTGCAACAGTTCTCTGTATAATAATGCTCTCTATTTTAAGGAGGCACTGCTATTATTATAAGCTGCCACAGTTAATTACTAAAAAGCCCTTTTGCTTCTTACTAGCATTCCTTGGTATGCTCATATTTGCTATATTGTCATATTTCGTAGGGAAAGTCACTCGGTTTTTCTGCTCCTGTTTATCTGGTTATGCTAAGCACACAAAGGGCAGCTGAAAGTCACAGCTGTGAAATGCAGAGCGCCTGGATTTTCAGGACTACTTGCATTCATTATGTTCTAGAGGATCATTTATAATCAAAGCAAATGAGGACATACCAGTAATAAGACAAAAAGCTCAAGAATTCATATGCACAAATCAAAAGCTGTTATTGTAGCAAACAATGGCTGAACTACACACGTCAATAAACCTTTGTAATAACAAATGAAGTATGGTTTTGTAATATTTGAACCATATATTACACCAAAACATTTACTATGTTTGCTTTTTCACTATGATAAAACCATGGCCTTAATAAGCGTGAACAATTTGCAATGAAATTATTCATGGTTTTATTACAGTAAATATGTACACTACCTGAAAAAGTCTTGTCGTGGATCCTTGACTTCTAGTTGATCATTTGGAAAAGTAGCAGAAGGTGCCTTTTTCCAATGAATCATCTGTTGAACTGCATCCCAATCATCACTAATATTACAGAAGACATATTGGAACCCGTATGGACCCAAGATTCTCACAGACTCTGTCAAGTGAGGAACAATCATAGTTTGAGGTTACATTCAGTATGGAGGCGCACAAGAGATCTGCAGAGTGGATGGCAACATTAACAGCCTGAGGTATCAAGATATTTGCTGCCCATTACATTACAAACCACAGGAGAGGGCAAATTCTTCAGCAGGATAGCACTCCTCATACTTCAGCCTCCACATTAAAGTTCCTGAAAGGAAAGAAGGTCAAGGTGCTCCAGGATTGGCCAGCCCAGTCACCAGACATGAACATTATTGAGCATGTCTGGGGTAAGATGGAGGAGGAAACATTGAAGATGAATCCAAAGAATCTTGATGAACTCTTGAGAGTCCTGCAAGTTTCTTTGCCATTCCAGATGACTTTATTAATAAGTTATTTGAGTCAGCAGAGATGCAGTGCTCCAAACTCATGGGAGTCATACACATTAATGCTCATTTTTCCACTGCGCCATGACTTTATATTTTATACTGTACATTATTTCTGTTAAGTCAAGGCATGATCGTATTTTATTTAGCTAAAATAAGCATAATCTAGAGGCCTTTGTCTTTCATATAAGCCACTTCTGATACCAAATGATCAACTAGAAGTCAAGTTATTATTAAGTTGTTCCTAAAACTTAGAAATGTGACAAGACTTTTGTCAGGTAACGTATGTATCTGTAAACTCAAAATAACTGTTTGCATCACAGTTTTATAATTATAATAAATTATAATTACCATTATAATGCAATGGTCTGTGTTTCACAACCATGGTTAATTCGACAGCAACAATGTTTCAATCAAAAACAAATGTGTGATAAACTTGTTAATTATTGCAAGGGAAATATATGTCAAAATGTGCACACTTTTAGAAATAAGGATACAAGTGCTGTCACTGGGGTGGCACATATTTGTACTTAATGAGTTCATATAAATTTGGTACCTCGAAGGTATATACAAGTACCTCAAAATTTCAAGACGTACACTTTTGCACTTTTTAGATACTAATATGTGCCCTTGAGATTATTAATTCAATTCCATTCAGCTTTATTTTTATAGCGCTTTTACAATGTAGATTGTGTCAAAGCAGCTTCACATAAATGGTCATAGTAACTGGAACAGTGTGGTCCAGGTTTTAGTGTTTAAGTTCAGTTCAGTTCAGTTTAGCTCAGTTCAGTGTGATTTAATCATTACTGAGAGTTCAAACACTGAAGAGCAAATTCATCGATATGTAGCTCTACCAATCCTGAACCATGTGAGGCAGTGGCGACAGCGGAGAGGGAAAAAAAACTTCACCTGATGGGAGTGAAGAAAAAAAACCTTGAGAGAACATTCTTACACATTCCTTAATAAGGAATGTGTAGTCTAACAAGAAAAAATACTGTACCTCTTAATGTAATGCATTCAGAGTGTGATTTATTTAATGGAAATTAATCATAGTCTAATTATTGTAAATGTTAGCATGGTATGGTGCACTGAACACCATTTCCATACCATTTTACTACAAACACCATGTTTTTCAAAACAAATCTGAAGTAAAGCCTTGCCCTTTTTTTTTTTTTTTTTGCAAATAGCTTGATATTATCCAAACACTAGATCTACTATCTGAAATAATTAAGTTTGACATTATTATTATTATTGTTATTGTTATTATTATTATTATTATAGCAGGAATGCTAGCTTACCACAAGATGGCAGCATTACATAACAGTGTTTGGAGCTCCTCTAACCATGACCTCACTTATGTTTTTATACAAGTTTAGATTAAATCTGAAATCCAGAAAAGCAGTTGCATATTTACACTATTCGTTTCTTAAAGTTCTTTACTATCTTATTTAACAGACTTACTGGACTAAATGAATCACTGAAAGCCTCCTCTGAAAAAAGAAAACAAACCAAAACACGATTTAAATTCACAGGACAAAGTTAACAAGCTGTCGCGAGACTCATAAGCAGACTGTCAGCTAGCCTCACATAAAAGTACACACACACACAAATATATAGAAAATCCCTATACACACAAAACCCCCCAATACTGCCTGGTCTTCCAGTAATGAGAAAATAAATAGACCCATCCCAAGCTGCCATCAGGTGTTTGTCCAGCACTGAACGGTTATATCAAAATACATATAGGGCCCATAACTCAAGCTGTCTCATTTGTTTGAGTGTGTGTGTGTGTTGCTTCAGCATACACTATGAAAGAGAATGAAAATGTGTAGGCTTCTATTTTTTATTTGTGTGCGTGGGAGGCAGATGGAGAAAGGTAGAGAGCAGAATAGATCGAGCCTGAATAGATATTTCTGTTCAAGACTATGATATTAGCGTTCATAATTATGTATGTATGCCCACTCTTAACTATAATAGACCAAACTGTTAGCACCTTTCATGTGTCATTACTGAACACTATCACTACAGAAAAACCCCACTATTCATCTGCTTAGCCAAACAGAAAACTATTTACACCCCAAAGAAGATGTTGGAGCTGTGTGTGAAAGATCTGCAGGAAAATACACCGGCATTGGTCATGAAATGGATGATTTTTTGTTGTTGTTTTGTTTTATCGCTGCTGAAAACGTTCTTGCCTTCATCCGCCAGTGCACTCCGGGTTTGGCATCGGCTGGCTGCTTTATAGCTCATATCCAGATGGACATCACCAACTTTTGGTGCTAAAAATTTCATGACCTTCAGAGTGAGAGATTTACGGTGGCCGCACGACATCCGCTGCTACGTTTCATTTCACAATGCATTTTGTATAAGGAACCACTGAGTTAAATATTTTTTTCAGTTTGAGACATGCTGAGGTGTGTTTACATGAGATGTT